TAACATTTTCTCTCTGATGGTGCCACCCCCTTATCTCTCAGCCCTTCAGGAAGCACACCGGTAACAGGCTACAGGACCTCTGGGGAAGTGAGGCAACCGCAGGCAATTCGGAAAATAAGAAAAAACCCACCACAGTCCTGATTTGGTTTAAAGCAATCATGCAATCCCGTTACACCCATGTCTTCCCCAAACACCTTTTCCATGGCAAGCAAAGTTACTGGTAATGCATGTGGCTTTTGTCACAGTGATGCATTAGGTAAGCAGGTGTGTGCTGAGTACCAGGGGGTGCTCCGAAATGCATCTCTGTCATCTTCTACGTGTCTTCACTAAGGTTCTGCCTAGTTATTAAAAAAAAAAAAGCCAGTTATTGCATTGTGTTGACAAGAAAATTCACCCCGGCAGTGATATTTTGAATGTCAGGAACCGAGATGCTGGAAATCACAATACATCACTCCCATGTGATTGATAAGAGCAAATCCTGGGTTTCAGGATCAGAGCCCAGATTTAAATCACACCCACCCAATCTGCCAAATATAAACGTAGAAAGAAAGCCACATGTTTTCAACAGTTGCTGAAACTCCTCTCAGAAGGCTTGATCCACGCACACCTGGGTGAGTGGGTGGGCGGGGTTACCTCACTCAGGGGCAACAGCACCTGTATGGCCATACCTTTGGTAAACAGCTGATACCCAGGTCCCCCAGGTGCCACCATGGTTCAACCACTGAAGGCTGAGCTCCGGCATGGGGGTGGGCTGGGCTGGGGGCCTCCTAGACGCGCTCCCGCCTGCGGTGGCCAGTGCCCAGGGTTTACTGGTTGCTACGTATTTTTAATACCCCCCCCTGAATGGCAGAGGTCCAAAAACAGAAACCTCCTCTTCAGCTCTGCTTTGAGTCCATTAAAATAACAAACTGCATGATTTTCTACCTGGAAATTATTGCTGAAAAGGTCTTCTTTCCTCTTAGGGAGGTACCACAGTGGGCCAGTTATAGGTGACTGTGTCCCCCGCCCCACCCCACCCCCAGGGTTTCATCACCTTCAACTTTTGGAGGAAAGTGGGAAATCTGTATTTTAAATATCAGCAACCCACTTGAATTCTTTAAGAGTCTGTGCAGGACAAACACAGCCAGAGCCAGCGTGGCCGGCAGCCCACTGTCCTGTGACCTCCTGCCTCCCCCACCCATCCAACTGCCCAGGGTCAACATGCCACCCGTGCTGGTTGGGCCCGTGAACATTCTTTTCCTGCGGAGTTTCTTCTCTCTCCTCACTGTATAAGAGCAATTGCAAATGATAATGGTGTTTTTATACGTCCCCAGCAGGCTTTTGAGCCGTGTGTGTGTGTGTGTGTGTGTGTGTGTGTGAGAACTGCAGAGAGAACAGGAAAGGAGATGAGAAAGGGTGGGGGGCTTCATCCTTTCGTACTTTACCCCCGGGCGCGATCCATCTAGGGCCCAGAGTGTAGACGGGGTAATGAATGACTGCCGAGGTACAAAATAAGCAACAAGAAAGGAGGGACATGTGAATTGCTCTTCCAGATATTTTCACTTCTCACCTATGATAATGAAATATGAGCAGCAATTAACCCTGGAGCCCCTGAGTAGTTTGGGGTGGGGGGTGTGGCATGAACACGGCACCGTGGCCTTCCACTCTGGGTCCCTGGGTTCCTCCTCAGGTGTGACTGACTCAGGAGCCTGAAAATGGTGAGCTGAATGGGTCGGGGGGCCCAGAGCCCTCCCTGCCTTTGGAATGGTCCCCTGAAATCATGAAACCTCAATGGCGTCAAGACCAACTTTCATCCCAGGACCACGAGTTGTGCGAGAATGCAGATTTTGCAGATAGTGGGTTTCCTGAGAAAGTTCTGACAGAATAAATATTTTCAAAGAGAAAAAAAGTCAGCCCGCAGAGTCTCTAAGGGATCTACATCTTCAGGGAAAATGAGAGCAGAGATGGTAAACACGCAGTATTTTTCAAAGGGTTTTGTGTAGACACTGATGTCTGCTGGATTTAAGCACCCACCAGACTACTTCTACTCCAGTTTCTTCCCCAGTTCTTTGAAGATAAATCTGGATTGTTTAATATCTTTGCATATGATAAACATGTTATAAAAATACTATCATTTTCCTAACAAGTATTCCAATGTTCCATCTTTATAAAAATAGTTTTAAGAGCCTTTAAAATATTTTCTGTGTGGGCTTTGCCTCTGTTTAAAACATGTGCACAGAAACCACCCACGGCCATCTGTGGACTTACTGATGTAAAACAAAGCAAGATTTCACATCGGCGAGGAACTACAGGTGCCAGGGTATAATTTATATCATTGATCGTCACTGCCTTCCTCCCACAGGTGTTCCAGAAATGGTACAAATCCCGGGTAGCCTCAAAAGACCTATTACTTACAGACATCAAAGTTCCCAGTAATGTACTTTCATTTCATATTAGTGTTAAAAACAGACGCTTTAGAATTCAGTCTTAATCTGAATTCTAAAGTGTCTTAATTCTTAATCAAAACCTCAACTGCTATGGATATAAAGATTTCAAGGAAATACAGCAAAAATGTTTATGTGGTTTTCTCTGGGTAGTAGAATAATAGATGATTTAAAATTTTTTCTACTTTGTACTTTTTTTTCTAGGCTACTTTCATAATCAGAAAAAAATAATATTTTTAAAGGGGAAGTAAGACTCAAAATATTACCTTATTTAATAAAGAAATGCTAAAGTTTATTTTGAAAGTGAATCCACCTGCTTTACAAAGTTGCAATAGTACATATCATTTATAGGTCTAAATATTAGAAAAGCTTGCGGCTTTTATGTTCCCTAAAAGACATATGACAATAAAGTGGCTTCAAGAACATTTTGGTTAGTTTAGGAACTCAGGCATTTTTTTTCAAGGTTGACCATTTGTTCTTGCAAACCATCTCCTTTCCAATGTAAGTGACTTAAAACGTGCAAAAGACCTTAAAAATTTGGCTTTAGTTCTGCTAGTTCAAAAAAAGTAACGTGAACTTGCACTTTAAAATAAAAAGCACCTATTACTTTTTTGCACCTTAAATTTTTCTCGGAAGAGGGGGGTATAAATTATAAGTAAACCAAATTATCAATAAATAAAAATAAACTTCAATATACAGCAACAATTAAAAATGGGACAGGAAAAAACCTGGCTGCTTTGTGTGTTTTTACCCTGGGCAGTCCCAGTTGTGCATTTGAGAAAGCAAAAGCTAAACAGTTAGGAGACTATGTATGCATTCCTTCAACCTCAATTCCTAAGAACAATTCAAGAAAGAGAAATTTTAAAACAAGAAAAGATTTACCTACCTTTGATGCCAACTGTGATTTTAGGCCTAAGAATGAAAAGACAGTGTTGCTTTCCTTTGATTCAAAAAAACTGTCATAGTCCTAGAAAAGAGGAGAAAAGAAACAAAAAGCAAACAATCACCTTTGTCTTTGGTGCTTTTGATAAATTCTTTCTGTAAATAAAAAATGTACCACTGCTCCATCCAGGCCAGGGGAAAACTACAAGAATCTACTGGCTTTGCTCTGCTTGAGCCTAAACATGCCGGCCTGATGATGAAAGTAACGAATTTTTAATCCTAAACCTGTGACAGATTAAAACGTAAAACCCTGACGACAGAAATGAAATCAGAACACGCACCCTCCTCCATGTGTCAAACTAACATTCATTTGTGTGGAATCACCCTGACCTAAGATTTCACTCAAGCACTTCAATATGGAAGGCTGCCTCCCAATTCCACTCTTGATATTTTGTTATCTAGAGCTTTGGAAAAAAAAAAAATCCCAGAGTAAACAGAAAAGCCGTAAAGCTCTCCGTGTGTCAATACACGTGCTTCGATGCTGCTTTTGAAGTTTTCCACATTCTTTGCGAGTGTGTCTTCAGAGAGAATAAAAAGATCAAATAAAAACTAGAGGAAACTATATTCTCTATAACATTTATCTTTGCCTCTGACACAGAATCACTCTTCTTTTTCTGCTGTCATGAGAGAAGCCATTGAGAAATTCTGGTCAATATGTTCATTAGCTGTTTTCTTCTCAAAAGTTTGCATGTATAATACTACATAGTTTCTAAGATGATATAAAGCAGTTTTAAAATTTGATAGAAGTCCCTGTAATAACTTTATGCAGAGGCTGAATATTGTAGGCAGACAATGGCCAGAATCATTTTTAGGCATCTGCCCTGTGTTGGGTGCCTTACAATCAGCATGTCGTTTAATGCCCATGATAGCCCACCAGAGTAGAGACTGGCTCAGAGCAAGAAATGTTGCCCAAGTCTGCCAGCCGATATGTGAGAGAGCTGAGATTTGGGCCGAAGCATCACTGGTGTTGAAATCAACACTTTTTGGATTCTATGATGCTTCTTGCCCAAGAGGAAACCAGGTACAGGGCACCCCGTATACAGGAGTCACCAAGCCCTGATGAACCTACTGCTGAGCTGAGTCAATGGCATTACAAGTACTTTTGAAACCTGTCCAGGAATCTAAATAAGAGCTGATGATGTAGAGTGGACATCTGCTTCTTGCAAAGCATTGCCTCTGCTGATGAAAAATTTTTGAATTATTGGATTTTGTGCAGACTCTCTCGTCAGAGTGCAAGAGTCTCATGTGGTTTGAGGGCAGCTTGGTTTTGGTTCCCGGTCATCTCAGCCTCAGGCCTCACATAGCTGTTCCTTCTGCAGAGCTTCAAAGGGTCCCTCCTGCTGTCATTCAGATCAGCTGTCAGGCAGTCACCCCCAGAGAGAAGACTTCCCTGACCCTGCCAGGAAGGGGCGACACATCCGAAGAGGGAGGCTCAGGGAAGACCTCCTTGGAAAGTGGAGTTTCAAGCTGAAATCTGAAGAATCAAAAGAGTTGGCCAAGTTAAGTGTTGGGAAAGGAGCGTGTGGGACAGGGAACAGCATGAGTAAAGTGGGGCCAGGTTTGAAAGGGATCAGCATATGCCAGACTTCGTAAACCAAGAAAAAGATTTTGAATTTTATCTTAAGTACAAAAGGGAATTGTATCTGGATTCTGAGCAAGGGAGCAGAATGATCTATTTCCTTTAAGAAAATACCAATGTTGACTGTGTAGAAAGTGGCTCAGAGAGAGGGCAGCAAGAAGGGAAGTGGGGAGAAAGATCAGGAGGAGTACCCGCTTCTGTGGTCATTCAGGTAGGAGATGGTGGCAGCCAAAGCCAGAGTGATGGTAATAAAGGTGGAGAGGAATGGACTGGAGAGAGAGTTTGGAGGAAGAATTGATCACACTAAATTGTGGAATTGGTGCAGAGGGCTGGGGAGAATTAAGAATTAAAGCAGCTCTCATACAATTCAACAACAAAAGAACAAACAACCCAATTTAAAAAAAGGGCAGAAGACCTGAATAGACATTTTTTCCAAAGGAGACATGCAGATGGCCAACAGGCACATGAAAAGATGCTGAACATTGCAAATCACCAGCGAAATGCAAATCAAAACCACAATGAGATAATCCACACCTGTCAGAATGTCTATCATCAAAAAGACCACAAACAACAAATGCTGGCGAGGATGTGGAGAAAAGGGACCTCTTGTACACTGTTGGTGGAAATGTAAATTGGTGCTACCACTGTGGAAAATAGTAGGGTGGTTCTGCAAAAAACTAAAAACGGAACTACCACATGATCCAGCAATTCCACCCCTGGGTGCATGTCTGAAGAAAATGTTAGTTCAAAAAGATACATGTACCCCAATGTTCATAGCATTATTTAATAATAGCCAAAAGATGGAAGCAATCCAAGTGTCCATCAACAGATGAATGGATAAAGAAGATGTGGTGTATATATATAAATGGAACACTACTCAGCCATAAACAAGAATGAAATTTTGCCATTTGCCTCAACACAGATGGACTGGGAGGGTATTATGCTTAGTGAAATAAATCAGACTCAAAAAAACAAATACTGTATGATATCACTTAAGAGTATAATCTAAGAATACAACAAACTAATTAATATAACAAAAAAGAAACAGACTCACAGATATAGAGAACAAACTAGTGGTTGCCATTAGAGAAAGGAAAGGTGATAGGGGTAGGGGACTAAGAGGTACAAACCACTATTTATAAAATAAATAACTTTTTACAGGATATATTGTACAGCATGGGAATATAGCCAATATTTTATAATAACTATAAATAGAGTATAACCTTTAAAAATTATGAATCACTATGTTGTACACCTGAAACTTATATATAATATTATAAATCAACTATACCTCAACTTAAAAAAGCATTTTGGGTAAAAAAAATTAAAAAGAATTAAAGTAGCTTTCTGAACTTTGTGACTTGATGGAAAAGGCCAGAGAAAAAGCAGGTTTGAGGGTAAGGCTGGAGTTGAGTTTCAAAACGTTAAGTTTGAGAAATTGTATGAGATGTGAAGAAGATATCACCTGGGCAGTTGGGGGTTCCAAGTGACTCTAGGGTATTACAGATTTCATAGAATTTTATGGAAAAGTTGGCAATTTTTTATAAGGAAAACTATGTCACAAATAATACAGGTCTCAATCTGATGGACAATTTAGGCAAAATCCCAAGAACTGAGAATGTTGTTACTAATATTCTTCATAACAAAGATAGTTCCAAATAGTTGAGTAGCAATTCACTCATCTGGGTTCAAGAAATAATCCTGTTGGACACATACTTTCTCTACCTGATCATATGTGGCTTATGTTCTACTTGGTAACAGGAGGAAGAGGGCTAAACTGTAGCCAGGTGGTCTCCCCCTTGTAGATACCCACCATATAAAAAATCGGTGTACTTGTTTGTTTCTCTTTGTACATATTCTGCCACTACTCGGTGTACATTCTTTCCCTAGGGAATGCCATTCACAGCCATGGCCCTAATTAACTTATATCTCTAACTCTTACTTTTCTTCTCAATTCCAGTTCCATAAGCAACTAACTGTTCATAGACTCAAACATGATGGATCTAAATCACAATTCATGATCTTCCTTCCACCCCGCAAGCTGGACCTCTCAGAAAAATGGCACTACTATCTCATGGGCTCGACCAGTCAGAAATCAAGGCATCACAGGACTCCTCCTTCCCTCAACCAATAACTATCTTACACATCCCTTTAAACTCTCTATTTTTCTACATTGGTCTCATCGCCTTAATTCAAGCTAGACTTCCGCAGTAGCACCTCAATTCATCAACCCTTCTCAGTCTAACCTGTTTCCCTCCAATAATTCTCAAGCAAGGACAGACTGATCTTTTATGATTGCCAATTTGATCATATCACCCTCGGCTCAAATCCTTTCTTTCAAGATTTCTCATTGCTTGTACAATGCAAATTAAAATTCTTATTACGACATAAGAGGTGCTATAAGGTCTGACTTAGACAAGGTAGGGAAGAAGAGAGGTCTTGTCCTTCCACCTATACCAACATCTACATCTGGTTCACAGATTCATTTCTGGGAAACCCAGTGGCCTACATGCTCAGAGAACTGGAGATGTGATGTCCAACGATCTACTATCCGAGTTATGACCCTGATCAACTCATTTCACCTCCTTGGACTGTTTCTTCTTTTCTGTATCAGATACCACCAAAGTTCCTTGAAGCTCCAGAATTCTATAAAATGATGGAGCACTCAGTGGAGTGGCTCTTAACTGGGTTGTTAGCTGTGTCCAGATGTAAAGTCCAGCCTATGTATTCCTGTTGCTAGACACCTCTTTGAGGAGTTTACCCCTCTCGGAATAGGAAGCATGTTTAACTGAACAAGAAAGAGAAGAGACAATAGTGAGAGAAAAAAATTGAGGACTAGTGACTTAGTCATCAAAATGCTGTCCCTGTTCTTGAATTCTGAAAGGACTTTACCTGTTTCTACTTGATTAATAATCTCTGATGTCAGTGTGAAATGCAAGGAGTGAAAAAATAGAATAATGTAAGACATTGAAAAAAGAGTGTCTGACTCAATCACTGTGGCGTGAATTTTAAAGACTGAAGTGTGAACATGAAAATACAGTGCTTGCAAAAGATCAAAAGGCAGGTTACAATGAGACTTAA